TTACATCTATTGATTTTTTTATACTTCGACATGCTTCGTCGCTTAAACTTTAAGTATATATAAATATCGTTTTAGAAAATCGTTTTTTTTTTATTCTGTATTACTCCTAATTTGTCCATTGCGGATTCAAAATCATAGGCATGTAAAAATAATATTTCAGGCCTATCTTTTGTATCTCACAAGTGACTGCCCAAGAGGCCTTTCAATAAATACCAATACTCGTCAGTAGGACTGGATGAGTAAAAAATAATATTTCAGGCCTATCTTTTGTCTCTCACAAGTGACTGCCCAAGAGGCCTTTCAGTAAATACCAAAACTCGTCAGTGGGGCTGGATGAGTAAAAAATAATATTTCAGGCTTATCTTTTGTTTCTCACAAGTGACTGCCTAAGAGGCCTTTCAATAAATACCAAAACTCGTCAGTGGGGCTGGATGATGAGAGATGCTTTAAATGTGCTTGAGTGTTGATTAATAAGTGGTAGCAGCACTTCTGCCTCAGAGATATCAATCGCTGCAGCAAAGAGGGGTATTCAACAGAAAGGCAAATATATTTAAGACACATTAAAAGCTACGGTTTAAACGCTCAAAACTTGGAGAAGCATTGGAAACTAATAGGCGTCAACTTTGTGATAAAAATCACGTTAACTGTAAATGAAACAATTCTGCATTTTTCTTCTCCAATTTACAGTGTCAAAAATATATTGGTGAATAAAATTACACAAAATTTATTGTGCTTACATATCTTGTTTCGCTCTACATTAATGTGTGCTCTTCCATGTTGTTATCATGAAACTACACTATTTTAATCACATCCTATTAGCAAAGTAGGGGCGTGTTGAACTACTGTTAGCCCAGTCCATAAAATTACACCTACTTCACTATCACACTGTGTGTTGCCTAGATAAAAATGGAAAAACATTAACATTAATAAATACACTTTCCCAGTCATAATGAGTGAGAGTAAGTAAGTAACTGATCCTTCAAATTCAGTTTTACTGCACATGAATAAAATTATACAATGTAAGTAATGTCAAGTTTTTAAATTTTTTTCGGATTTTTTTTTTTTTTTACTCTCAAACATTTCTGAATGGATTTCACACATTTTTTATGTGTTACATGAACCAAATACACCGACACCAATTATTACTGTTTAACTAGACCTTTAAATGTAAGTAACATGTACGGGAAAGTGATATCCAGATCAGGATATTGCTAAAATTAAACACGTTATCAAGTAGGTCTCATGGGATTGGAAAGCGAGTTACTTTTACAGATGGCAAAGTGTGAGGAAAAGCCGGAGCAGCAGTGACACCGGATGGCACTATCGTTTTTAACTGAGCTATGCAAAATTATCTTTATCTCTGGGAACAAGAGTGACCGGATGAAGAGAAACAGGGTATTTGTTTTAATTATTATTAATCGGTAATTGTTTTGTTTTTTTCATTCATCACCGATGTTTCATGCTTTAAAGAATAAATATTTATTTACAAATTTAAAAAAAATGTTGGTATCTGCCCATGGTTTATACGGCATATATGGTTCAATTGTCTTCCTAAGCCTTGGAGAAAATTCTAGACTAAGTCCACGCACATCACGTTACGCTAAACTTCCCTCCCACCACACAACAGTACAAATTTCTTCAAACGTCTAGCTTATAAAACAGAGGCTACAAAATATCTTATAGATCAGATATGGCAGAAAACTTCATAGGAAAATTAAATACGTCGAACTTTAGAAGTAATGAAATTCAAAGACAATCAAACATGATAAACTATATTATTTATTGTAAATGCTATGAAACGTTAATATGTCTGAACTGGTTGAAAATTAGATATAAATCTTTAGATATTTAATTAAAACTCGCAGTGATTGTTTTCTGGATTTTATATACTGCAGTTTCAGCAGCCAATCACTATGCCTTAAAATCGCGAAATTAAAATCGACCACAACTTGTTTTTTCCTAAATGATGTAAATTTTTACTTTAAATTAAGGTTATGTTTGTTTGTTTGTAATTAAACACAAAGCTACACAATGGGCTATCTGTACTCTGCCCACTACGAGTATCGAAACCCGGATTCTAGAGTTGTAAGTCCGCAGACATACCGCTATGCCACTAGGGGGGCAAATTAAGGTTATGAAACTAATGACTAAACTCAAGGATAACATCAGTTTACCTTAGAGTGTTTAAACGATCATTTTTCTTTGCCCTAACCTGTAAACATATAACATCTTAAACACCTGAAAATCTTTAATTTCTTCAAATATGAAGAATTCTTGTTTTGTTCTAAACAAAATTAGAGACAACATTTAAATGAACTCTAACACTATTTCACTATTATTATCTTACAACTTACAGCTTTTACAGTAAGAAATAATACTTTTAAGTATTGAACTTTATTTTAATATTTACGTTTGTTTGTTATGAATTTCGCGCAAAGCTACACGAGGGCTATCTGCGCTAGCCGTCCTTAATTTAGCAGTGTAAGACTAGATGGAAGGCAGCTAGTCATCACAATCCACCGCCAACTCTTGGGCTACTCTTTTACCAACCGTCACATATATAATGCCCCCACGGCTGAAAGGGCGAACATGTTTGGTGTGACGGGGATTCAAACCCGCGACCCGCAGATTACGAGTCGAGCGCCCAAACCACCTGGCCATGCCGGGCCTTGTATATTTGAGAATGATCGCTCCAATGATCAAAACGTCGTACATATTTTTAAAACATTCTTCCTTACTGTAAAACCTGTAAATTGTAATGAAATAATATTGATAATTAGTAAGTAAACTAAAAAAAATATTTCACTATATTTTTTATTTTAAAAATTAACACCTTGAAAAGTTTCAGTACATCAGTAGAAAATGTATATTCCGTTCGTTTGATGTTTCCGCTGCTTAACCGTTCCGTTTCAGGATCTCAGTGCTACAGTTCCATTGGATTCGTCTGGAACTAGCTGTCTCGTCAAGTCTTTTCCTTGAACTATACTTCTTCTAGTACCGCCTCCTGTAGTCAATTCCTTGGTTTTTCAAATAATCGTCTTCCACTTGGTTGCCCTGTTCTACTTTCCTTGTCACATAGATCTCTTTGCCAAACAGTCTGCTCACAGTACCGTCCTTAACACTGACAAGTACTGTAAATTCCCTTGGGCTTGTGTTATATTTACGTCTCTTCCCTCGACTTTGCTTCGGATCGCTTCGTCAAATTTATTCGGTCTTTCTCAAAACTCACCATCAGGACACAGTTCCCAGTTTCATACAATGTTATTGTGTTACGTGTTCTTACGTTGTTTTTAAAACTAACATTTATAAATCGCTAAAGATGCACTCAACCTCGTGAACGAATGCATTCTTAACATCCTTTTCAATTCCTTCCCTTCTTAACTTCCCATTCTTAACATCCTTTTCAATTCCTTCCTTATCTTTTAACTTGTTCCTTAGGCACACTAATAAGCTCAATCCATTTTTTTTCCCACTAGCAACTCCAGTTTTCTTTAGAAACATTTAAAAAAAGGCCAAAGGAAAAGAAAATATTATCCCAAACACTTTCATTTTGTCGATAAGCAGTCTTCTAAAAATGTTTACTAATTTAAATATTATGTTTTCCTTTCAAGTTTCCATGGTTTGTTTAGTTATTAGTGTTTTAAAGTGAAAGATCTTATTCCTAAGACTCCTAGCGAGTGATAAAGACTTTTCATTCAAGTTCATAGTTGTAAGATTGGTTGGATAATGTAAGCAGTTGTGGAGTTGGCAAGGATGAAAGATGGAATTTAGAATATTATAACTCAGTACGTGACTAGGACTCCTGGCGAGTGATAAAGACTTTTCATTCAAGTTCATAGTTGTAAGATTGGTTGGATAATGTAAGCAGTTGTGGAGTTGGCAAGGATGAAAGATGGAATTTAGAATATTATTACTCAGTACGTGACTAGTTGTGTGTAATCTTGGTACATATGAAGCTGGTTTTATTGTGGTGCAAATTCAGTGTTATTATTAATGTGATAATTAAGAGCTTATATCGACAAAACACCAAAGTATTTATGTTACAATAGTACAAATAATTACTATGGCAACTATATATGGATCTTATCCACAAAATCATACATTTTTTTTAACCTTATATTTTGACTCCTTTTTATATTTGGCCCTATGGATAGAGTTAGCAAGTTTATTTTTTTCATAGCTATATCAACTAGTAAATGTTGTTTTTGTTTGTTCGTTGTTAAGCGCAACTATGCACAATGAGATAACTTTGCTGTAGTCATCGCATAAATCGAACCCCGAATTTTAGTCTTATAACACCTTAAGCTTACCGATGAGCTATCGGAAGCAGAATTAGGTGCTGATCAGGGTTAATTATTACATATTTTGCTTATAAGAACATACTAATGTGTTGTATGTTTAATAAACCCTATCGAGTCTTGTTTCAGAATATTTAGTTGAGGTGACTTTTTCAAACAACCCTACCTACGTTTCAATGATAATTTTCCCTAGTTGACTTATAGCTGAGATGTCTATTTTTCAAACAACTCTACCTACATTTCAATGATAATTTTCCCTAGTTGACTTATAGCTGAGGTGTTTATTTTTCAAACAACCCTACCTACGTTTAAATGGTAATTTCCGTAGTTGACTTATAGCTGAGGTGTCTATTTATCAAACAACCCTACCTACTTTTCAATTGTAATTTTCTCCGAGTTACTTATATCTGAGGTGTTTGTTTTTCAAACAACTCTTTCCAAATATCACTTCTATAGCTCATTCATTTTTATAACTAATAAAATTAATAAGGAAATTTAACTCAGTTCATACATAATTTATTGTCATTTAAAATGAAATAACTTATATGTAAATGATATATATTTATATATTTTGGACGCTACGTCTTAGCGCTGTTGATAAAAACATTTTGAATTATCTATGTTGCAAATAACATTATTTTATGGAAACAATAGGATTTTAATAAAGGACTTATTGTGTTGTTTTTACTTTATATCTAATAGGGGGCGAAGGTTGACCATGTGATAAAGCTCTGGGTTTTGTAGCTGGCGAGACCGAGTTGGAGTGCGTGTTTTTGTTTGTTTTTACAGCAAAGCCACATCGGGCTATCTGCTGTGGCGAGACGTGTTGGAGTGTGTGTTTTTCTTATAGCAAAGCCACATCGGGCTATCTGCTGTGTCTACCGAGGGGAATCGAGCCCTTGATTTTAGAGTTGTAAATCCGAAGACTTACCGCTATCTCACCGGGGGATGAGAGGAGTTGGAATCCGTGCGTTATAAGAGTAACAGACAATCACTTAGTATGGTTGATGGGAGGTAGGGAGCTGCTAAATGTATGCCTTTTCTCTGGTCAATAGTTAAAAATTAGGAACGGTACAAAACAGCCTCAATGGTTTTGCCATAATTACATAAATGTAAATACTACAACAACATATCTAATAAAATCCTAATTTTTCATCGTTAATTGGCAACTTATTAAAATCGTTTAAACAGTAGAACAGTAAAACAGTTTAAACAGTAGAAATTTTATTTTAATTGATTTACGATATGAAATCTCCAATTTGTACAATAATCATATTTTTTCTCCATCACATTTTGTTTAAACTTAAGTAATTTCATGGATAAAATAACATTAAAAGAAACATTCTGCTATTTTTTTTCCTTTTTGTAATATTATTTTGATTAGGCTTAAACTTTTCTAAAGTAATGTACAGATCTTAAGTGGTTTTCCAAATCCATAATATTTCGTTCTGTTTTTCTTATTGCACTTTCCAGTTTCGTTGTTATTTATGGAGTAAAATCTTTTATTTATATTGTTAAAAAGTATCTGGCAAATATTTTATATTTTTTCTGTGACAGCTTCAGCTAACGTTTGGCATCATTCATTCAGTAAACGATAGAAAAGCAAGTCGTTTAGATTATCTAATCTCCTTGTAATTATAACTCGCGTCTTTATAACTATCTAAATTAACTGGAGACGCAATCTTAATTGTAAAATCTAAATTAACTGGAGACGCAATCTTAATTGTAAAATCTAAATTAACTGGAGACGCAATCTTAATTGTAAAATCTAAATTAACTGGAGACGCAATCTTAATTTTAAAATCTAAATTAACTGGAGACGCAATCTTAATTTTAAAATCTAAATTAACTGAAACGCAATCTTAATTTTAAAATCTAAATTAACTGAAACGCAATTTTAATTGTTAAATCTAAATTAACTGAAACGCAATTTTAACTGTTTGAAACAAACTCCATACATTAATTTCTCAGCTAAAAATAATATGAAAACTATCAGGCTCCCTCAATTGACTCAGTGGTAAATCTGCAGGCTTAGCATGCTAAAAATCGGACTTCGATATCTGTCGTGGGCAGAGCACAGATAGCCCATGGTGTAGTTTTGCACTTAACAACAAGTAAACGAAAAACTGTTATCTATAACATTAAGAAATGAAGTTTTTGTAATGTTTCAAATCATTTCGCATTTCGATTACAAATAAGATAATTTTTAGATATTTTTATTTCTTATTCAGCTTAATTTTTAATGTCTGTTTGTCACGGAAAACTTATAGATCTCAACAAGATTACAAAATTAGACTGAAAAAAATCGGAGATAATTTTCATAATCTGAAAAAAAACATAGCATTTGAGTTGATTAATTTGTTTTCTTTAAAAACATATTCCAAGATATTTATACAAATAAGTAATTTAGTCCCAAATGGACCAATTGAATATTTAAATCCTATTTAATTCGATCAATATTTTTTTTAAATTTAGTTGGATATCATCATAAAAACACTGAATTTTAAAACTGCTCAATGAATTTCTATCAGAATAAGCTCACCAATATCTTTCCACACTCTGGGCCATGAGAGAGCTATAAGAGTGAAGTTCGAATCCCACTATTCGATCAAATAAGAATACTCCAAAAGTTTGGCGGTGTGTGCTTTTGACATGGTGCTTCTCAGTACAAAATTAGGAATTGATATCGCAAATATATCCCTTCTGTAGCTTTGCCCGAATTTCTGAAAGAAACAAACTTGTCAATGTCTTATAGGAACAAATGAATACATTTGAACAACAGAGACTTGCGTATTTTTTGTAGTGTAATCATCTTAATTGTGCTGTAAAGATTTTCATGCACTGCTATCCACACAATTAATGAAGAAAACACAGTATACGCATATCTGTTTACAAGGCATAAAAAATACATATTCGAAAGAAGAGGCAAAAATGTCAAGAACAAAGTAAGCCAAAATCGTAACTTTGAAGTTCACGTGGGTAATTTCCTGACAAAAAGTCATAGCTTTTTTTATTATATCTGTTTTTATGGTTATATTTGATTTGTAATCCCACAAAAAATAATTCAATTTAATCTTTATTTAATAGCATATGGGCTATCCTACCTTAAACTAAACATTCGTCGTTCATATGAACTAAAGATCCATCAGACACAGGCTGGAATAAAGAATGTTGATTTTTCTTCAACAAAGTATGAACACACAATAAGTTTAATCAGATCAGTCAGGAGTCTTGTTTGTGTATTACACACTCAATATATTTAATTCGACCAATCAGAAGTCTTTCTTTGTGTATTGATTCCACGATAAGTTTAATCAGATCAGTCAGGAGTCTTGTTTGTGTATTACACACTCAATATATTTAATTCGACCAATCAGAAGTCTTTCTTTGTGTATTGCATCCACAATAAGTTTAATCAGATCAGTCAGGAGTCTTGTTTGTGTATTACACACTCAATATATTTAATTCGACCAGTCAGAAGTCTTTTATTTGTGCATTGCATCCACAATAAGTTTAATCAAGACCAGTCAGGAGTCTTGTTTGGGTATTTTGTGTATTGCCACACAATAAGTTTAATCCCACCAATCGGTAGCCTTTTTGCTTGTGTATTGCCACACAATAAGTTTAGTCCCACCAATCGGTAGCCTTTTTGCTTGTGTATTGCCACACAATAAGTTTAATCCCACCAATCGGTAGCCTTTTTGCTTGTGTATGTAAATATACAGTTAAGATATGTATCATCCGTGGCTCTCATTAACAGTACTTGATGATCGTATTGTCTACAACACCAATAACCGTTTTATTTCTGAAATTAAACACAACAAAAACATTTCATAGCATTAAAAATTACGTAAAGTTGAAAAATATTTGTGGTTTTTCTTGTTAAAAGAGTGGGTACGAGTCTACAAAGCTTACGAATAATTATTGCTGTGACTAAAGCCACTTATGGGATGATTAGGTGTGATTTGAGCTCTTCTATTTTCTCATCATTATCCTTAGGATTGATTTAAATACTATGATTTGTAAGATCAGCGGTATGTCTGCGGACATACAACGCTAGAATCCGGGTTTCGATACCCGTGGTGGGCAGAGCACAGATAGCCCATTGTGTAACTTTGTGTTTAATTACAAACAAACAAACAATAAATGTACAAGGACAACCAATATTTTATCGTAAATCATAAACACATTCATATTCCAAGACTAACACTTCTCTACTTACCAGCACGTTTCATAAACACATTCATATTCCAAGACTAACACTTCTCTACTTACCAGCACGTTTCATAAACACATTCATATTCCAAGATTAACACTTCTCCACTTACCAGCACGTTTCATAACCACATTCATATTCCAAGACTAACACTTCTCTACTTACCAGCACGCTTTCTTTTTCGGGAAAGTTACATCAAATCCGGGGACGAAGATAATTAGTTAATTATCTGATATTGTAGAAATGATTTCTTTCTGTATTTGTGCGGGCCAGGCGTGTCCTAGTGGTACTATGTCGGGCTGCGTGTCGAGGGGCCCAAGGTTCATGACGTGATGCCAGGAAAGACACTGCGCACTCTCAGATGTACTCACGTGATGAAAGTGACATTCAATCTTGTTATTCGGCTCAAACGGTAGGTTCTATTGGACAGATGTCTTATTTCTATTCAAAAGCTACGACTCTACGGGTCTCTAACCTGAACATTTAGCCCACGTGCGCATAAAATGCCATTCAAGCTAAAAAAAAAAATGTACTTGTGGGAGTTCTTGAAAATCTCGAATTGAAATTTTAAAAATATTACTGGTTTATTGCTTAACTTGCATGAAACTTTTAAGATTTTTATTATTTTTTTAAACAGTATGCGACTCATTGGCTTTTATTTAATTTGTGCGATTTGTTTGAGATTCTTCCAAAAGTAAAACAATATTGCTTTGCCTTTCTGTTTAATTTCTATGAAATATTTGTTTTTTTAAACTATTTATGTAGAATATCTCGTGTTTTGAAAATATTTTGTTAAATCTGTAAATAGTGCAAGCTTCCGAATTGTATGTGAAGTTATTGGTAATTCTCTAATTTTTATGAGTTTTTTTTTCGTTGTCTTTTAATAATTTTTAAGATATTTTGATAAATGCATGAATATTGTAAGTTTCTGAATGACATGTGAAATTCCTAGGAATTTTAAACAGTTTCAAACTTGAGAACGTTCTAGCCTTCTGAAATGTTTGTGAAGTTCTTAAGAATTTTAAACAGTTTCAAACTTGAGAACGTTCTAGCCTTCTGAAATGTTTGTGAAGTTCTTAAGAATTTTTAAGGTATTTTCTTAAATCTGTAAATAGGGTAAGCCTCTGAATTATGTATCCCATGTGCGTTAAATCTGTGCATCATGCAAGTTTTAGAGTTATATGTGAAGTGTTTTTAAGAATTTAAAATATTTTGTTAAATTTGTGAATGTTGTCAATTTCTGAATTCGATGTGACATTTGAGAGAACGTGTCTCGTTGACTTCCAATTAATCTATATATGTAGTTCGTGACACAGATTTGAGGACCTCGGTGGCTCAGCAATTAAATTGACGTTTATAACTAGCATTCGTGGTTCGATCGTCGAGGTGGGCAAAGTACAGATAGCCCGTGATGTAGCTTTGTGCTTCACAGCATAACAAACAAAATAATATATTTGAGAATTATATTTTTTCGTAATACTAGTCTTATTTTCTTCAATTATCTCAATTTCTCTAGACTATCATATCTTTGTCTTGTTTCCTTTTCTGGCTTGTAATGAGATAAAAGACGTTTTTACCAATTCTCAACAGGTACTCGAACTCGGAAGAATAGAGGGAGTTCTGAAGATTCTAGAAGAGAAATTTGACAGCTGTCAAAGCTTGGACTGTATCCAGTATCTGAATGCAAGTGATCAGTTTCCAACTATTTTCTCAATATTTTATATCCTTCTCGTTCTCCTGACCCTTCTCTGCTAATACTTTGTCTTCGCTGAGAACAGATATTCTATTCAATATCTATAGGGTTTTTGAGTTCACCATATAGGAACCTTTTGGGAAAAGGAAAATAATATTAGTTTGTTTGTTTTGAATTTCGTGCAAAGCTACACGAGGGCTATCTGCGCTAGCCGTCCCTAATTTAGCAGTGTAGGAATAGAGGGAAGGCAACTAGTCATCATCACCCACGGCCAACTGTTGGGCTACTCTTTTTACCAACGATTAGTGGGATTGGCCGTCACTTTATAACGCCCCCACGGCTGAAAGGACGAGCATGTTTGGTGTGACGGGGAAATATATATATTATTTATTTTATTGTTAATTTCAACATACAATCTGGAATCAATATTACCACACTTAAATTTGGGATTACAATATAATTGAGTAGAAATCAGTGTTAGTGTGTATCATAGATTTTTTGTGTTCATATTAAAACGTGAAGGACTAACCGAAATAAAACATATTGATGGTCAGTTCAGACATTCCAAAGGTCTACAAATGCCTTCCAGATGTTAGAACTTTTGATAGGAAGGAGTGTAGCAGACCGGAAGCGCCCTTCGCCTACACAGGTGCACTTTATTTGAGTAGCAGGATTTGCTGTCACTTATCATGCGACCACATTTAAAAGTACGAAGTGTATTCAGAAGCATATCACGGGCCCGAACTTTCGACCTTCCGATACACAGCCCCACACGCTAACCACTAAGTCAAGCTCTTTTGGTTGGTTTGTTTGTTTTGCAATTAAGCACAAAGCTACACAATGGCCTATCTGTGCTCTGCCAACCACGGGTATCGAAACCCGAATTCCAGCGTTGTAAGTCCGCAGACGTACCGCTGTGCCACTTGGGGGGGGGCAGCCCTTTTGGTACATGAATACTTCCGTGCGTATTTATTTCATAAAATATTCTTTCCTTTAAAGAGCAGTATGTTTCACACCACTGGCCATTTTGCCAAGAAAATCACAATTCTAATCAGAGTGAGGAGAAAAGAAAAAAAATAATAATATAAATTTCATCAACAATTCTGAAATTACGAACTTACGTTACAACTGCAAAAAGTGGCCGAAAAAAAATCGTGATATCTTTCAGTTGCTTTATTTTTTGTCCACACAATTCCAGCCAAGTTGTTTTTCAATTCATATAATTTTCCTTATATAGTTTTATACAGTAATTAAAGCGATGTTATAAAATATGCCAGAAACGAAGGCAATCACGTACCGGGAAGCGTTTATATTAGTTTTGAAGTGTGATGCAAAAATCGTGTCAAAATATTCACACTATGGTGGTTTTAGGCTCATAACTTCCGGATTTCGCGTTCGAATTTTGTGCAATTAAAAATTTTTCACTTTTAAAAATACCTTAATGCGTGGTAGAAATTTCAGCGAATTTTTCTTTTGACGAGCCCAAACATTTATGACATATTAGCGTAATATCTGCATATTTTTATCCATATCTCCCGGAATGCTTCAGCTACTAAAACCAAATTTGCTATCAATCTACGGGAATATATATTCCAGCTATGTACCAAATTTGAAAGAAATTTGTTAAAGGGAAGTGGTTGATTTTTTTTTTCACTTGAAGAAGTTTGGCCTGCTGTAAAGCAATAAGGGTTAAAGCAATTTCTTTGAAATTTGGTATATAAGGTAAGAAGACGTGGAAAAACCTACCATATACAGTTTTGATTAACGGAGGCGATTATATGGATGATTGAAAAACCAAAAGTTTTCATTCCTCTTAATAACAACACTGGGTGTTGTGCGGTTTTGTTTTGGCCACACGACACGCTGCCGTGTGTCGTGATATATAACGACACATTCTTCCTCGTATGATTACATAAATGATCTTTTTTTTTTTTTCTTAGATCTTCATTTTATTTAGATCAATTTTTACTTTCTGGTATTTTGATTTCGTTTAAAATTTATTTTCCTTTTAACCTGTTTAGTTATATTTTACTGTTTTTAAGGTAATGTTGAAAATAAGTTGGAATAATCTTTTTAAATAGAACTAACAGTTCTTCGAAACATTCTCAAAATAACAAGGAATTTGTCAATAACTTTTAGGCAGAAACATGCATCTGGGGGGGGGGGGCAGCAACTGGCTACTAAGATCTGCAGTGTTATTTATATAATAATAATAATACCTATCGTGCATTGAAAGTACTATCTACTTCGCAAAAGTTTTCCAGTTGTATTAGATTTCAATTTCATGTTTTTAACATGACTTCGTCTCAGAACCAATAAAGCAGATAAAACTTGCTTTAAAACCTTATTTCAAAGTCTGATCAATTTCCGTCTATTCGCTATGCTTTCATAAAGCTCGGAACAGCGATGAAAATGTCTATGATATCTTTATGGTAAATAATGTGGGTGTTGAAATATATAAATACACAAAAAGGAAAAACGATACTTTTTTTTACCTGTGCTACTGCGATAACAGTAAAATAAATCAAATTTACCTTTCTTATAGCCCCCCCCCCCAAGTGACACAGTGGTAAGTCTATTAACTTATAATGCTAAAACCCGGGTTTCGATACCCTCGTGTAACTCCGTGCTTAACAACCAACAAACCTTTCTTATAAAAAAGCTACACCATGGGCTATCTGTGCTGTACCCACTACGGGCATAGAAACCCGGTTTCTAGCGTCAGACGTCCGCAGGCATACCGCTGTGCCACCAGGGGGCTTCTTATAAGTGAATAATCTGGAATCCCAATACTGTCGAATAATACGCCTTTGCGATTTTTCCTGAAAATAAAAAAACTAATGCTGGATCCTAATATGCTCACTTTAGGCTGCTAAGAGACGAATAATAATGAGTCTCCGTGACTTATACTTCAAACTAAAGAAAGAATTGGATGACAGAGCCGCGGTTTTTGGCATTTTGATTAACATGTTATAAGATCATTCTGGTCACGTGAGCTTGGATACTTCATTCACCCCGAATTCCTGGGTAGCTTGAGATCATTTTTACCGAAGTTTACTTTGAAAATGAATAACTTTATATATCCGACATCTTCGAAGAAGTGACCTTTCTGATTTTTCCTTGTTTGTGTTTCCGTGGCAGGAGCAAACATACATTTGAGAAAGTTTTCGAATCAATCCCTATGTTAGATCATCAATAATGGAATTACTGAATACTTGGAAGCGCGTGTGGCGCTGCTATTATACCATAATGATATAGAAGACTCTGATTGGTTACTCTCTGTGTGGCAGAAGCTGACTTACAGATACCCAGCAGAGCGGCTTAGCTACACTGCAAGACTCCCACTCTTTGGATGTGTGGACCGACGAAGTAATGAAACGTTTCCCTCTGCTCTGACCGTAAAGCAAGGTAAGGTTAGACTCTGATGTTTAAACTTATTAAGTACTTGTAAAGACATGAAACTATTTGTGGTAGTTCTAAGAAACAAACACACGATACCATTCCTCCTCTTTACTTGTACATCATGTTTATAAACTAATCAGTTTCTGTCCAGTTTCATCAAACTGCTGGTGTAATTTTAGTCTGAACATTCACTTTTGAAACTATTGAATCACTTTACGAATATTAATTGTCTTTTGAAGATAAGGAACAAGCGCCATAACACCTTTTGTTACAGTTAATAAGTTTTCAAGACTTCAATTATTTTTATAAGTTTGTTTGTTTTGTTAAATTTAGCGCAAACCTACACTAGGACTATCTGCTCTAGACGTCCCTAATTTAGAAGTGATAGACTAGAGAGAAGGCAGCTAGTAAACATCACCTACTACCAACTCTTGGGCTAATATTTTGCTAATGAAAAGTGGGATTGGCAATCACATTATAACGCCCCCACGGCTGAAAGGACGAGCATGTTTCGTGAAAAGATTCGAACTCTCGACCAGCAAATTGCGAGTCGAATGTCCTAACCATCAGGCCGTGTCGGGCCTATTTCTGTCAGATAGTATTAAACAATTTAGATATTGGAGCAACAGAATATCATGCATTCAGCTCCGATGATAATACAGAAAGTTAAAACAACCCGCACTGATGTCGAAATAATTAAATTTAAATCATTCATCTTTAGTAACTTCTATGAATTAGTTTTTTTTTTAGTCGTAAAGTTACACGATAGGCTCAACGCGGGGAATCGAACCTTGGATTTCAGGTTTATAAGTCTGTAAACCTACCATTGGCTAAGTTTTAGGGAAAAAAAACATTTGGAACTAAATAGCTCTGATATTTTGGAATCGTCATTAAATCATGTTACACTGATATAATGAGGTTGTCCTAGTGTAGCGGTTCCCAACCTTTTCGCCACCAAGGACCCCCTTTTAGTATTATTTTTTCCCCACGGACCCAAACTGTTTTTCTTACTAATAATTAACTTGTTTTTTCCATTTTTCACTATCAAATAAAAGACATATATATAACTGAGTGTGCAATTAAAAGAAGAGCGGAATTTAAAAAAATTACTTGTTTGATGAGATGGTATTATCTTCGCGGACCCCTAGGGGTCCTGGGACCACAGGTTGGGAATAACTGTCCTGGTGGCTTGTTAGTAATATGTTGCGTATCTTAGCTCTAAATTATCAACAAAAACATTTATTTTTGCAAACTTGAGGCTCGTGTTTAAAAATATAATAAAATATGTTACGTTAGCGTAATACTCAGTATCTTAAGTCATTCCTCTTAGTAACTTTTAAACTAAAAAAACAATTCCACGAAGAAAAATTCCGTATCAAACAGTTGTTTGATTTTCCTTAGTTTAATTTAATACATTAGACCATTAAAAGCTCATTATTTTAAAATTGCAACATATTATTAAACTACGGTCCCTTCCCTATAATAAACTTGTCTTAAGTGTAACGCCCGGCATGGCCAGGTGGTTAGGGCCCCGGCATGGCCAGGTGGTTAAGGCACTCGACTCGCAATCTGAGGGTCGCGGGTTCGAATCCCTGTCACACCAAACATGCTCTCCCTTTCAGCCGTAGGGGCGTTATAACGTGACGGTCAATCCCACTATTCGTTGGTAAAAGAGTAGCCCAAGAGTTGGCGGTGGGTGGTGATGACTAGCTGCCTTCCCTCTAGTCTTACATTGCTAAATTAGGGACGGCTAGCGCAGATAGCCCTCGTGTAGCTTTGCGCGAAATTCAAAAACAAACAAACAAACAAACTTAAGTGTAACAAAAACAAACGGATTTTCTATTTGAATGAAAAAAATAATAATGCACTTTGAACACCTGATCAGTATCAAAGTCTTAATATTTCTATTCAGTTACAAAAGTGTAAATTACTTGCGAAACTCATTTCATTATGATCGTTTCTATTATAGTGAAAAGGACACTGTCAACTATTTTATATCATAAATATATATACAAACCAAAGCCAAAACGCTCACAATAAAACTTCTTAAAAAATAGCAATTATCAGCTGTTGTCATTACCATTAAGACATAGCTCCCAGAAGCTTTAGAGATATTCAGTCCATCAGATATGATCCAAATGAAGATGTCGAACTAATCAGTGGCCACGGAGAATCAAATTAGGGGTTAGGAACTCATTGCTTAAACCCATAACGCCTCAACTCCTACTGCCTTTCGCTGTCTGCAACCAATTGTGGAAAGGCAGTCACCCTCAATCTTTAGACATACAAAGAGAGCCTTGTAGTAGAAATAAACCACCCTAAATTTCTACAATTTTAAGACTCCCAATATCCACTCTTTTCAATAAGTACCACATATTATAAAAGGTTAAGTTAGGCAAGCATTGCAATATTTAGATATAAAAATGATCTTGTACTATAGTAGATACAAGTCAACATATTTCTACTTTTGTAAGGCTCCCAACCTCCACCCCTTTAGTAATTATTACCAAATGATCTTCACTGGTCTTAAAAAGAACTAAAATCTCTTACCTTCATATTTTGTTAATAATTACTTAAAATCCCATCCTCCTTCCTTTCTTTAAAAGTATTTATTCAAGTATAAACCGGGTGAAATGAGACAAGCTCAGCTACTTGAAGTTTGTCTTTCAGTCCCGGAATACAGACCAAGTATCTGAAAAACACTATAGTTAATTATTTATAAGCTTCGAATAACCTTAAGTACTGACCTCTATGTATTCCAGAAAGTAATTTCAGTAATTAAAAATTTATTTTTCAATATATTATCATATTTATTATAAAAGAGCGTAAAAAAATTTCTTTATTTGCGATTCTTTGTGACCATTATTTTTATAATTTATTTGTGAATAACTGAACATCACCCATAAAATAATTAATATTGTTACAAATTGTCAAATATCTTTTTAATTGAGAAATAACAATTCCTTTTAGTAGTATAAATGGTTTGTTTGTGTTTGGTTGAAGTTAAGCACAAAGCTACAAAATGGGCTATCTGTGCTCTGCCCACCACGGGTATCGAAACACGGTTTCTAGAGTTGTAAGTCCGCAGAAAATCCAGCCCGAATCACTTCAAGAAGCTTCTCTCCCTTACGTATTATTCATGTTGACGCATGGATACTAAGATAACAATGGGACTATGAATGCTATGTCAGGATCATTGCTGCCTTACTCTCCCCCGCCCCCAGTGGATCAGCGGTATGTCTGCGGACTTACAACACTAGAATCCGGGTTTCGATACGAGTTGTGGGCAGAGCACAGAAAGCCCATTATGTAGCTTTGTTCTTAATTACAAACAAACATACCGTCGTGCCACTGTTGTGCAATATAAACGGAACTACAGTGTTTGGGGGGGAGGGGGGTAAACCAAGGATGGGAAAACTAAAATTCATTCTTTTGCCAAGAATAGTTATCTGTACTCTGCCTTCCAAGAAAACAATATCTAAATCTAAATAGTGAGCACGATCAAATAACGAAAGGTGTAACCGTACTAGTTAGGGTTTATTATTTGTTTCGTAAATAAAGTCTCATAGAAGTAGAGATACAGGTCAGCCATGTTTGTGGAGAAATTATGTTAAGTTTAGCTTTATTACAGACTCTTCTAAACGCCATTACTAAATCCGCATCTAATAATATTCTAGACGTTTTTGTTTGAAAAATAAAATTACCGTCATTAAACGATTTGAATCATCATCTTTGGATCATTAAAAGTAATATTCCAGTTCTGGAATGTTTAACTAACTTAAATTATTTAAACGAACCTAATTATGTTACTACTTATGACTTTACTATATTATATACTAGAATAGATTTGAAAATTGAATTAGTTTTGGTTTGTAATTAAGCACAAGGCTACACAATGGGCTATCTATGCCCTGCCCACCACGAGTATCGAAACCCGGATTCTAGCATTGTAAGTCCGCAGATATACCGCTGTGCCACTGGGGGGGCTAATGAGTTTTTAATGATCCAACTGATGAATTTATAGATACTGAAATAATTATTCCTAAATTGAAATTTAATAAGTTTCAATGTAAAAATGTACTTAATTTCTGTATAAATATAATAGTTACATTATCCTTAATGAAAAAAGTATTCAAACAAATAATGGTTATTCTGATGAGAGAAGGAGTTTTATGCAGTTTCAAAATTTCATGCAAAACTTGTAAATTAAAACAAGTAAAATTTAAATATTATATATATATATATTCCATTTTCTAATTTATTAATTAAAAATTGTGATAACTGTATTTTTATTTAATGAAATTTTGTAAATATTTTAGTTGTATGAATTTCCCTTATTAAACGTACTTTATTAATAGAGGTAATGATAAATTATTCTTGAATTTCTCGAATTTTATTTTAATAAATATTAAAGGAAAAACTAATTTCATATTCAGATAAATTTGAAGTTTTTGACTGATTTTTATAGAATTAATAACATTTGTCTATT